AAGTCAACCGCATGGCCCTCGGCGTCCAGTCGGAGCACGAAGTCCGCCATCGTGCAGGGTCAGCGGCACACCTCCACAGGAACACAGCGACGCAGGAACATAGCGACAGCCCCCTCCAGCACGGCGGCCGCGAAGCGCCTCAGCACGGGCGAGCAGAGGAGACGGAGCCCGAGGCGGCACGGCAGGACGAGCCAGGGCGAAGGGGCCAGGCAGGTGCTGGCGGGGCCAGGTAGGCGCGGCAGGGCCAGGCAGGCGCGGCGGGGCCAGGCAGGGGCGGCGGGGCCAGGAGGCGCGGCAGGGCCAGGCAGGCGCGATGGACCAGGCAGGGGCGGCGGGGCCAGGAGGCGCGGCAGGGCCAGGCAGGCACGGCGGGGCCAGGCAGGCGCGGCGGGGCCAGGAGGCGCGGCAGGGCGAGGCAGGCGCGGCGGGGCTAGGAGGCGCGGCAGGGCCAGGCAGGCGCGGCGGAGCCAGGCAGGCGCGGCGGGGCCAGGCAGGCGCGACAGGGCCAGGCAGGCGCGACAGGGCCAGGCAGGCGCGGCGGGGCTAGGCAGGGGCGGCGGGGCTAGGCAGGCGCGACGGGGCCAGGCAGGGGCGGCGGGGCTAGGCAGGTGCGGCGGGGCCAGGCAGGCGCGACGGGGCCAGGCAGGCGCAGCGGGGCCAGGCAGGGGCGGCGGGGCCAGGAGGCGCGGCAGGGCCAGGCAGGCGCGACGGGGCCAGGTAGCACGGTGGGGCCAGGCAGGCGCGGCGGGTGCTAGGAGGCACGAGGGGCCCAGGAGGGGCGCAGCGGGCTAGGAGGCACGACAGGGGCCCAGGAGGGGCGCGACGGGCTAGGAAGCGCTACAGGGGCCCAGGAGGGGCGCGACGGGCTGGGAGGCACACGGGGCCCAGGAGAGGTGCGACGGAGCCTAGGAGGCACGAGGGGCCCAGGAGGGGCACGACGGGCTAGGAGGCGCGGCAGGGGCCCAGGAGGGGCGCGGCGGGCTAGGGGGCACGACAGGGGCCCAGGAGGGGTGCGACAGGTTAGGAGGCGCGATGGGGGCCCAGGAGGGGCGCGACAGGGTCTAGGAGGCGCGGCAGGGGCCCAGGAGGGGCGTGACGGGCTAGGAGGCGCGGCAGGGGCCCAGGAGGGGCGTGACGGGCTAGGAGGCGCGATAGGGGCCCAGGAGGGGCGCGACGGGGCCTAGGTGAAAGCGCGACGGGGCCTAGGAGGCACGGGCGGAAGCGGTAGGTGGGGGGGGGGTCGAACCTACGGGTGATACCATGTCGAGAAGAAAACTGAACAAGTGTTGAATAGAGAGAGAGAACAAGGGTATATACCTAAGAGTGTTGTACCCTCTAAGAGGTGACCCTATGCAGTCTATACAAATATGAGTTATACATATATTTGACAAGAGGGTGGGGGGGAACTCAAACTAGAAACTGAAAATGAAGAACGTGGGTGAGGCCAACTGGCCCCACATCCCTCTTTTGTAGGCAATAAGAGGGTGAGTAGCGGCGCGCCGCTACCTTTGCTGTGCTGGCCACGTTTCCACTTTCACAATACACAATTTTAGAAAGCGTGTGACACTTTCAAAAATTATCATATTGTGAAAGTTGCTTATTTCAGATGGGCATTCTGAGGCATGTGCATCGGAGGTCGCCGGTGTCGCTCGATCGATTGCTGATGTCGGGCAGGTGAAGGGGCCGTGGAGGTGTCTTGTAGTTGGTTGGAGACTGCAACGAGCTGGTCCTGAGCAATGGTGACATATAGCTCCTTTGCTCTATCGCTTTTCCAGCGGCCAAGACGTTTGAAGAGACGGCTGGGGACCCCCAGGCCGGCTGCGTCCGTGGCTGCGCCCTTGCGGAAAGAGTGAGTGCCGAGGTGGGAGGCATCGAGGCCGGCCTTCTCGAAAGCTTCAAGGCACCAGTTGCGAATGGTGGGGTACGATGGGGAGTTGTCTTGCGGGGTGGTGCGTGCTCCTTTGCCAAATACGCGGATGAGCGGCCCGTGCGGCATGCGCGTGAGGCCGGCAAACTGAATGAAGTGGCGGGTGCATCGAATCGGACAGCAGGGCCCCTGTGTCGCGGCCACTGGAATCCATGAGCCTTTGCCTTCCTGGTCCGTCTTGGAGTGTGGAATTAGAAGCCACATTACCTCCTCCTCAAACTGTATGTCATTCCATTGAAGCGCGACTAGATCAGAGTAGCGCAGGAATGCCGCAAACATGAGAAGAGGGATTAGACCCTTCTGGTATTCCGCCGGAATTGTGGATTCGAGGAAGGGCCGGGCCATGCTGTGAACTTGGAGCAGCGAGAGGGGCTCTTTGTGTCTATTAGGGTGCGGTCCGTGACGTTTGGCGTACTCTCGAACTTGCAGCGTGAAGGGGCCGCTTGTCGGGGAGGGTTCCCCTGTCATGCGGTGTGCGAAGGCTACAGCGGAGCAGGTGAAGGAAACGGCTGACACGGTAGCGTTATTGTTGAGCGCATGGATGAGGTACATCGCGAGGGTTAGGTCGGTTGC